GACTGACGTGTGCTGAACCTCTCGACCAAACTACACTCTTTGTCTAATGGAACTGCTGCGATCAATCTAGCGCACTGCGCGATGCAAACGTTAATCAAACCCTACCACTACAAAATTTTTATTAGTGCTAAACTATCGTTAAAAATGCACCAATAGTTGGTGACATTTGGCCATAACTACTCTAAGCAGCAACAAAAAAAGGGAAACAAACTGGGAATTACAGAAGGAATTAGTGACGTTATGAATTTTTAGTTATGGTCAGGAACTGATTTAGAACAATGTTAAATAACTAACATTAACAGAGCATTTGAAAATCCAGAAGATGAATGGAATAAAAACAAAACGTCTCGAACTAAATGCACGGCGAACCGCAACAAAAAGAGAGCAGCAAAATAAAACCGAACACAGATGGATGAACCTATTGAAAGAGGAGCGATTGTTGTTTGTTCGTGAACAAATTCAGTATAAGTGGATTCAAGTGTACCCTGTCCAGAAGAATGATCACAAATATGTGAACGAAATGAAAGGGTCTTGATGCATATTCGTTGAAAATGTGTAGTCGAAATGTTGGAAGCAATTGATGGAATATTAGATATCGATGTTGGCGAATTGTAAAGATATGCTATCCCTATCACGATCTCTGCTACCGCACGATGAATTCGGTCCACTTGGTGGTGAATTCTGGGACACGTCGCTGGTTGATCCCTCATCATGTTTCGCCTGCAATAGGAGAAAATACTTCAATGCCTAAACTTATTAACAGATTCATATTGCTGTTAACAGCTCTGTGTCANGCACTAACCGGTAAGAACAGATCTGAAAGTAAAGGAATGAATAATCGACAAACACCAACTGAACGAACGCTGACTTGTATTGCTGATGATTTTGCCTCAGTTGTGAGATCTTTCATCGCTTCTTCAATCTTTTCACGCAACACATCGTAATGCTCATCACAACTTTTGTATTCCGCATCTGATGACCAACTTCCTGAATTCAGAAACATTCTTGCATGTTCTTCGACGCCAGCTCATTTCGAGACAATTACTATGCTTCAGACATGAAGAAGAAATATTACGACGTCCACGAAGATACCGGATTTTTCTCGGTGAACAAAACTTCATTCATGGAGTACAGTGTGTGAAAACAAAAGATATGAACAACGAAGTGAAGAGAAACAAGTGAAATTACCGCAGACAAGCTGAGTTGGTTCATCAACATCAAAACTTCTTAATGAACTAGCTGCTTCAATCATGACCGGGATTGATTTCATAACATTAATTCCCGGATACGAACGCGCAGCGCTATCACCGGGTGGAACCTTCAAAACATTTAGTTAACATCAGTATTTCTTTCAGTGTTCTCATTACTATATCTCAAATCAGAACACAGACATACTCGCTCGCATTCTACTAATGAAGTTTAATCACGAATCCAAAAATATTCAGAACACAAATTTTCAGCTGAGTCCAATGAAGTGATGAAAGCAAATCAAGAATGACCAACCAAATCTGCACTGGAATGTCCAGACGATAGATAAGTTTTGAACGTGAACTGAGGACCAGTCCATAAACGACGATGTGGTTCACTGTACGTAAACACTTCAATCTAAATGAACATTTCAATAATTCGAAATAATCGTTCAACTTCGTCAATTCTAACGCAACTGATTCGATATTACATTCAATAAAAATGGCTTATATAAGACAATCTCTTTCATGAAAGAATATTTTCATCGTATACCTATTCAATTTTAAATCGTAATTTCGTTATGATCAACTGCAAATTGTGGTTGCAACGAGAAATAAAGATATGGGATATGAGAATTATATGACGATGATGCGTTGTACACAAGAACTATTCAAACGATAAGACTGACGTGAGCAATCCAATTATCACAACTGTTATCACTATCTGAAGAATCGTCCACTTCTTTGTCTTTTGCTGAAGAATTATTCAACCACACGATGAACGGACTTGTTTCAGTCAACGGTGCACGAACGTCTGCTGTCGACTTATATCTGAAAACAAAAAAACAAATTACCTCCTGCCCTTCAATTGTGGACGCCGAAGGAAATGAATAAATGAAGGAATAAACGATTGCNGAAATAATTAAACAAACCTTTGAAGGACCCAGTTGGCATTTGCACGAATTTTGCACTGAATTGGAGATTCCGAGTTGAGACGAGCATGATGATGTTGGTGATGGGTGGAAGTTTTGGATGTGGTGGACGATAAAATAGGGAGAGGGTTAGAGGTAGACGAGATCATCAAAGCAGAGTTTACATTACTGATACTGTTGACTGCAGATGACGAAGCGGATGATGAACTTATCACTGGACTGATCTCCAGAGAGTATTCAGTTAGAACACCGTCATCACCGATTATCAGCAGGGATGGTTGTTCGTATGGTGAAACCGGATTCGATGCGAATGATACCTGCAACCTTCATTCATCTTTCCGATTTTGCCATCTCTATTACCAACGAATTTCGTCAGCAACATGTGTGCGAATACAATTTCACTCATTTGTCTTATTACCTGCGTGAATTTATTCTCATCTCACATGAGATTACGGGGATTGCAAGAGTTTTGTAGCAATTTAGAGGGACGAATTGAATGAACAAACCGAACAACTTGCATAAATATCGGAGTTGTTCGGAAGAGATGAACGAAAATAATGAAACAAGAAAGAGACCGATAAACGATGTTGTTCTGTTGATCTGATACTAGAGCCATAAGTCCGTTTCGAGGATGACGACAACGATACCGATGTTAGATCACTAGCCCAAGCACTCAGGTTATCAGCTGATAAATAATGCTGCTGAAAAAAGTCTTTTTTGACATTTGGTAGAGGAGAACTATCTCGAGAATGTAAAGCTGAATTTTGTTAAGTTGATAGAATCACATCCAAAAAAGAGGATCGATTCTTGAAAATTTCATCAAAATAATTACAAAAAAGTGGCCATACAAAAATACTAAAATGATATACTCTAATTTTCGCGATTGCATTCATCGCAATCGGGTTTTGATACGGTCCAATTCGAGGATTGCCCACCGAACGTGCAACACAAGCACGTGTCAAGCATGGGTGCTCTCTAGAAATTTCTCAAGTTTCAATTCGTAATTCAAGTCGAAAATTTACGCAATTATTTCCAGAAAATCATAAAGTACACTAACTGAAGGATTGAGATTAACGGAAGTATTCGCTAAAGTTATTTGTTTCCGTTAACGTTTCTTAACTTTCGATGAAGAAGCAAAAATGACATTCAGATTAATCGCATAACTTTCTTCTTCTCAATAACTGTGATGAAGATTGTAGACAACGCTTCCAAAGAATGTTATTCTTCTCCGAAGAAAATGACGAAAAACTAACTTGTAAATTTGCGGCGCACCAAACTGATGACCTCTTATGTCGACCGGTTTTGAGCATGCGAACGAGTCGACTGAATCAACGAGACCAGCCGATCGAAGAAATCTGAATTTCCCAATTAATAAATTTCCGTTCCGTTCCGAACATCCTTTCAATCAAAAGTCGCCATTTCAATCTAACAACACTTCACATTTTCAGTTGAAGGTTTGCTTAAACTTCAATTTCTTCCATGAAAACTGTTTATATGTCAATCGGTTTTGTTATATGTCATATGCCATAGATAAATTGTACGACTTCGAAAATAAAGAGAAAAAAAACTGAACACGATTACAACAAAATAAAATATGGGATGAATGATAAATGAAAACGATAGTGCAATTCGAATGAATTCAGCAACATAAATCAATCGCACCTTGAGTCTCGATTGACAAGACGTGAGCCATGCGTTCGTAACGTAACATTTCCACCATAAGGGCAAATCGCAAACAGATGAGTCGTGCCGTGATTTGTGGCTAACGCTAACCAACGGCTGTCCATTGAGAAGGCACTTGATAAAACCTTCAACTCGCTTATTTCAGCATTCTTCTTGTTGGTGTTCAACAAGGATCGTTATCAGCGTTGGTAGAGGATGAAACAAGACGAACAATAACTAAGTTATGCCTGATACTCACCTTTGCTGGGGTAGTGCCTCTATAGAGCGTATAAATATGACGTACAGCACCGAGTGCAGGAGATCCAGGATGAGGATAAAGCAAAAATATATGAAAATATGTGGATGATTGACCTGAAATTTTGAACTGAACACGTGAAAGAACGCATTATTTGAGACAGATCAACGGCGATAAACGACCTACCCGAAGTGAGTAACATTTGAGCGCCCGGTGCGAATTTCACGTAACCGATCGGTTCAGCGTGTGCCACGAAGTGCGCAATGATGGCCTCAGAACGTTCACACTGAAATGCATTTAACTCAATCGTAAAATTTATTCACAAATGCAATGAATTTATTAAACTCATGCATCACGGTTGGCACGAAAGGTGATTTTTTAGTCCCACTCTCCAGGGGAACATGAGAAGTGTGCATTCTCGTTCCATGTGGACAGAAAATTTGTATTTCCTTCCTTACGGAGACGAGCAAACATTTACCTTCCTCTCTCCGTCCTCGCGGGCAAAGCAGAATTAATTTTTGCTCTTCCCATCTCCGTAGTCTCCCTAAGAGGATGGATTTCTCAAGCAAACTACAAAAAAAAAACACTATGCCATTACAATACGCACGAAAAGGAAGAATCTAAGCAATTCAGAAAGTTTCTATAATTGAATTCAGTTGTTTGGAATGAATAAAAAATCAACGAGCATTTACTTCAGAATCGTCGTCAGATGGAAGTTTGGTGGCGTCCACAACCGTGACGATTCCTGGGTGGGCAATTGAACTGAGGAGTGCTCTTGAATGAGGTGAAGACGATAACGTTGATACGACTGTTTCACCGATCGCAGACACCCGTTTTGTTAGGCTCTTAAACATTCAACTCTTGCTATTACACATTAAAAAAGAATCAAAAGCAAGCAGTCGAACTCAATAAACAAATGAACACTTAGTTATGAATACCTTAGCAACACTGATAACACCTGAGGTATATGATGATGTTGATGTGGTCGCCATTTCTTCACCAATCGCCATACCACCACAACTTTGATCTACTGGGACTAACTGCAATTTGTTCATGTTGAACCGTATGAATGATATTTGCTGATAATACCGCCTTCAACAACTCAATCCCTGTATTACATTCGAAAAACGCCTCTCAACACAACAATACGTATGAAACGTGATAATGATAGTACAATTGTAAATTCTTCAAATGGCTTTTTCAGGAAATTAAAGTGTGTGTTGAATAAATGGATGAATGATCAAATGAACTCACATCGCTGCCAGCGTACGCGATGAATACATCTGATATAGCAAACGGTGTTGTTATGTTATCATTGATTTGACAGTTGTAAATAGATCTCTGTTCACGAAGAGACATTGCATCACAGATTACAATACGATTCGTAAAGCACACTACCAATATTCTGCAAAATTGAGAAGCAATTCAACAACTTGTCAATGCAGACAATCAACTGAACGCAATGAATTCTCAAGTCACCTACTTAGTTGATGCTTCAAAGACACAAATGGGATCTGGAAACGCGATTCGACGAACGAATTGTGCGCTGATAAGTGATAAAAACGATAGAGTACAGTACTGTCGATCTGGTACATGCCAATTGCCATCAACTATTGCAAATAAAGGTCGTGAAGTTGCATAACTGAAAATCAATCACTTCAATTCAAACAAACCATTAATAAGCAATTGCAGAACATCAAAACGGCAATAACGAAGTCATATGTGAAGAATCGAAAGAATACTATCAATCAATCGCTAGAATCGAACCTGTCTTCATGAATCTGAAAAACCGGCTCTGGATCAGATGCTAATAACCGACCAACCCGTAGCGGACCTTGTCTTTCCGAGAGAATTTCCTCGCAATCACCCGATTCCTCAAGTTGAATGATTAGTATTATATATCACTTGTGGTTTCATAGGTATATCTTGATATGAATAGAGTGAACATGAAATTTGCATTTGACGATATGAAACGATGCTTTCAGAAATATAAACCAAATAAACGAATGAACAATGAACAGCCATTCATTCTCTGAAAACGAACCATCAAGGCCCATATTTGATAGCCTCGCGCTAAACCGATCACTATCACATCGATGATTCGTTTGCAGTCATCACCTGAATTAATCATCTTTCATACAACCATCCCTTTGCAACTAATATTCTACTCATTTCGCACTGAACGAATCCGTCCAATTCCCCTATTTCACTTCATTTTCTAATGACACAATAATCAGAGAATGACAAGTGAAAAGCTAACAAAATGAATGAGTTTAAAAATGATCTCAACAAAAGAATACTCGCAAAAAGGTGAATAAAACAAACCCGCATAACATTTCTGAATGCAAACCCATTCGATGCGTTCCACAGTTGGTTGTTGTGAACTCCCTTGTGGCATCACATCATGCACTAATTCTGCCACTGAACTCACCAATGACGGTTCACTTCAATGATAACATATCCTNTCCTTCACTTACAATATCATATCTATCATTTTTGACTATTTTTTGCCCGACTCACTTCAATTTTGTTTAATTCAAATTGCTTATTGATGCATTCGACTCCATGAACAATTTACACCGAAACTTTTCTTCAAACTATGCAAATGGCATTCGCGGAAATTTTTTATAGAAACCTCAAAGACGGCCGACTAGTTTCGGTTATGAATGCAATGATTTTCAATTTTAAAAAAATAAAAATCAGTGGGAAAACAATGTGCCCTTTGATTTAGACCAGAATTTCTCCACCAGAGGTGCGAGATAGTAGGGTAGACCAGACGTAACGTTTCATTTTTTCTATGTTAAAGTAGGCAAGGGTGAATTTCAATTTATACATGTGAATAAAGTAAGCGAGGCTGGACTTTAACATATATATTTTTGAAAGGCTAGAATGCACTTCGATGGTGTACACTTATCTACACTACAAACAGTGGATGGTATGACAAATACAAAATGGATGTTATGAGAGATGCGAGGTGATTTCAAAAATTTTTAAGGGGTGCGGACGAAAAAAGAATGGGAACCGTTGATTTAAACGAACGAATGAATATGATGAATGAATGACACAAAATGATGAATAAAGCAGCATACGGGACAGATTGAGGTCGAACGGTTTGACCACGCATATTGTAAATAGGCGAATGTTCCTTTTGTGCGGATGTGGTTACTTGAGATGGTGCCATCTGAGGGGTGTTTGATGCATAGGATGCAGACGAATGAGTTCGTGATCTGCTGCTGACGCTCTTCGGAGATGCATTCGATGGTGAGGATGTGGACAACACATCCAACTGATTAATCACTCCTGATTCTTTATGTCGTTGCGGTTGAACCTTCATCATCAATATTACTTAATCCATCTGATTCTACTTTTTTTCATTGTTTTCCAACAATGAAATCTTTTGCTTTCTACCGTTTAATATGATTCGTTAAAATGTTCGCATCCAAAATGACTCACTTCCATTTGAATATTCAATTTCAATTTCAAACCCAATTTTGTCACAGACCATATATAAATACTAGAACAGAAATGCAGTTCCAAACTGAGAACAGATAAAGTCAATAGGAGCACAATAATTGGATACGTTCATAAAATTCATCAACTTATCACATGATAAAAATGAAGTAATGATACTAAAGAATACAAAAATAACAATAATAAAAAATAATAATGAAACCGATAATAATAAATAACAATAATGACCTGCTGTATTTGTATTGGTTGGACGACTGCAGAAGCTGACGACGCACACTTTTGTTTCTGGAATGAGGTTATTTTTAGCCGACGAGTGGTATTCGTTCTCAGATTGTATCCCTTTTGAGAGAGTGATTCACAAATGAATGAACTGCTGCGAATCAACAATACCTCATAATCATTCAACTAACGGTGCATTTCGATGAATGGTCAAATAAAATATGAAGAAACGGCACTGCAATTCTTTTCGTTACACAATAGGCTTGAAGTGATTTTAAAGATCATTCAAATAAAGAACGACCTGTTGTTGTTGCTGTTCCTTGCTGATTTTCTTCTGATTCTTTTGATTCACTCGTGTCGGAGGTATAGGCGCTGACATCGATCTCTAATTTGTTTTGTTTTTTGAAATGGTAATTTATACGATTATATCACCCGATGGTATTAATAACGGCAATAACAATAATATTGAGACGATTNAAGTAAGAAAAATAATAACATCAGTAATAATGCAATGACACCAATAATATGAGCGCTAATATGATAACAGAATTTCGAAAATACTCCAAGTGATACACAAACGAATGATTATGACAGAACGCAATAAACCGAAAAAAACAGTGAACTGCAAATAATGGTAGATGAATGGAACTAAAACGTTATCAAGTTCTTCCTTCTATACAACATCGAAGCAAATAATACATTCAGGGACTGCGGTGCTATTTCGGATTGATTAAATGAGAATACGAGATTCTCCCGACAAAATCCGAACGTAATAGTAGGCTGCGGCAATGTACTCTATTGGACATCATCTTTACATTTCATTCGAAAAATGAGCCAACAGTTGTCAAACTGCGATTCTGACTAACCTCAAATGAGCTACATGCGACTCAAAAAGCTGCATAATAAACACATTTCTTGTGGTAGAAGACGAGAGACTAAGCTTATAAACTAAAGTAATCATCGACGATTGATACTTACAAACTAAAATAAATAAGTTAAGCTTACACCGATGCCTTATCAGTAATAACCAGTGATAACGAGAAGAATTTGCTCGTGAAGGATCAACTAAATAGTTTTGAAGATAGATAAGCGAAGTTAAGCATTTTCATATTATTATCAATCGCATTATTCAGTCTTATCGTTGACGAATGTAACTGCATAGCGACAATGAGTGCATAAAGGATTGATTTTAGTTACGATATTTATCTCTTCAAATCAATCAAAAAGAATGAATTGAATTCAACTTGTATAATACATATTTGGTTTGATGACGGATCAAAAACAATGAAGAAAATTTAATAGAAGAAATAGACTGGAACACAGAACGGGTTTGCTTATTTTTAGTTTGATAAAATCAACTCAAAATAAAACACAATATTCCTTATATTTAATCAGCAAAAAAAATTGTTGAATTCACTGTTTAAAACCAAATTCACCAAATTAACAAAACTCATATGCACCCTCTCAAATCCAATTACAAATAAGAGAATACGACAAATGGGAAACGCTCATGAGACGAAACGATATGAAAGTACCGTTGGCACTTTACAACAAATAATTTGAAAGTAATCATCGATGGCATCAAGTGAACAAAACATTCGAATCATACTCTCAGAAATCGACCAGAAATACTGTTCAAATAGGGAAACGAATTACAAACAACCAAATAAACTGCCAACCAAATTTGTTAAGTGTTCCAACCATATACACTGAGTTTTAAAATTGCCCAACTATGTACACTGAATAATGCATTCACCACTTCAAATGAGCTGCAGCAATATAAAAGACATACACCACTTCATCACTGCTACGATTTGTATTCAAAAATAAGTGCTTGACTGTGTTGTGCTGCATATTGTACTTGAGAAATGAATGCAACACCGACAATGATCATCAAATGAGCAATGCGATATGCACTATCAAAAGGCAATTAAAGCTGATTTGTTCAAATTTGATTATTAAAGAGTATGTCCTTCTTGAAGTGGAGAATTTGTGCACAATGAACGGATAAGAATCGATGAAAGTATCAAGTGGAATCTATAGAAATGAAAGTGATCAATCAATTTTTGATGCACAAAGATTGCAATAGATCAGAAGGTATACAGCTGATATGTTGTTTGTTGTAGCAGCAATAGAGCAACATCCGTTAGAACATTTCCGACTGGCAGCTATTTGTAAACAAAGTCGAGAACAGCCGCGAACGAACATGTGATCACATGAATACCACTTTGAACATCAAAAAGGAACCGAAATAGGCGAAGACTCAAAAAATTCAAAATACCCAAATCAAAAGAAGCTAGTTGAAGCGAAAGTTTTTTTGACACGAAATAATAAGAGAAGCAATTCGTACTCATAATTATCGGAGAGATATTAAAATGAGATCGTAAAGCGATTGACTGACGATAATCACGGTTCCATTTGAAGAAAACGATCAGAATCTTTAACGATTTGTTGATTTCATATTGGAACGATGCAGACAACAATAAAAGAGACGCGAATCACAGCAAGAGATTGCCGAGTCGAATTAAGTAAAACGAACCAAAAACAAAAACAAATAAACACACTTTACATGGTTCAGTGAAAACGAGTTTCTTCAGCTGACACACGACATCATTTTACACATCACTCACTTACATATGCAACTCATATGTACATTTATATAATCTTGAGAATTTTCAAATGATAACAGTGTTATACGTCATTGGGAAATACTAGCGAACGCGTTGATTCATGAATGAAAAACTGATAAGAAGTGAAGAAGGGACGAATTTAACATTGACGTTAGGATATGATAACATGCATCGAAACTGAGATAAGTATACGATTAGAGTACAATTAGTCAATAATTAACATATCATATCAAAAGATATTCGTGTATGTGATGCTATTTATTGCTGGAATCAAACTCTGAATAATAATCTCATTATCACTATTATTCTTTAATCAATATCTTAACTTTGTGCAAATTATTCATTAATCGATATCATAACTTTGTGCAAATTATTCATTAATCGATATCTTAACTTTGTGCAAATATCTCACTATCAGTTGAAATCTTGAATAAGTTAATCCCATCCGAACCCTGTTCATTCTGAATGACTGATGTTTGCGATGAAATTTGCCACACATAACAGATCGCGAAATTAGATTAATCCGTATCGAAAGAAAAGTGTCAACACTTGTTTTAATTTCAATGAATCCAAGCGTAAAGTGCAAGAGTTTATCGCATTTTCGACGCGATAATACATCACCGCTGGTTTTTCTATCGTCTGTATCATCAAGAAGAGCGATCGAAAAACCAAAATTGCAGTTAATATTCGCTTAAAAGTATTCAAATTCAGTAACGGATACCGACACTCAAAAAGGCAAAACAGACTATGAAGTGAACACTGCACTCAGAACACATTACCCCAACTCCGCTCTGCATCTCTCAATCGATACATCTACCAAATCAACACATCTGCAGCCAAATCACATCAAAAATTTCTCCGCACATGCATTGTAAACGGTTCCACAAAACCGTCTTCTTCTTCTTCTCCCAACGCTACGACGCGCACAATCGAATCAGCTGATTGCTCGCTGACACACCTGATCAGGATGTTCGCTTCGTCATGGGCATGTTCACCACTCACGTGAGGATGCTAATGGCCGATACGCCACACACTCGTCCACCACAGCATGCTAACCCAATGCCCATCGTCCACCACTAAACATGCACATTTGCATCGCAACGATTTGGCTTCACTCTATTTCATTAAGAGTAGTTCAGTCGTAACCCCAAGTTGAGCAGGGCGATTGCGAAGTGGGACTTGAGAAGTTTTTGGATGAGGCCAAAAGAGGGCGAAATTATCATTAGAAACATTCGGAAATCATCAACGTCGAGCCAACAGGTTTCTTGTGGATTATGATAGCCTTGTTGTGCATGAACATTGTGTAAAGTCGAATTTTTTCAATGACAAAAAAATTTTTATCAAAAATACGCATCCGTTCTCATCAAAAGTGTCAGGACATAGTTCCGGAACGTATTTGCGACTTAACCTATCTTATCAATCGCCGGCATACAGATTGTTCAACTCTTTCATTTGAATTTTCATTTGAAATAATCTGATATCATGAAAACTTTATTCGAACAAGTTGTTTTTGTATAATATTTTCAAATGAAATGATGAAACTGTAAAAAATCAGGCCATAGTTAGACCTCACAGTCAGCAAAGACATGCGGATAATAACATGGCTGATTTGCATTCGTAACATGTACACTGTCAGTCGATTTTGCTGGTAAAAACTGTTTATGAAATGATCGGATTGAATCGTTGAATCATACATATTCAAGCTTAATGACGAATGCTTCAAAACCACATCATCAATTGCAACAATCATGAACTTTGCGTTTTTTTTTTTGGGTTAATTTTGGTTTCGTTTAGTATATTACGTCGCAGTTTAGACTCAAGTCTACTCTCTGGCTCAGGCTTAGGCCTACTGTACACTTAGATCAAGAAGGGAATGAAATTCATCAGTTTTTTTCGTGAACATTCAAACCTTTAGCCGTTCGATGTGAGATACATTTTCACATTCCTCAAGAAGGGCGATTTTCAGCTTTGAGAGCAATTTCGGCCTCATTCATTTTCATTTATTCATTAATTGAACTTCTGCATCAAACCAGCACCTAATATAACTAAATGGAGACGAACATGAGAAGTGTAATGAAACAGTAGAACAGTAACAAAAACAATTCTTTTAATTGTAATTCAAGAAAACTGATAATAATAATAATAATAATAATAATAATAATAATAATTCCTTGCCGTATTACATGTGCAAAAAGCAGGAAACATCTTCAAATAAACAATTACAATGATAATGAAAGAAATTAATGGAACATCATACACAAATACATTTGCTGAATGAATCAACTCCAAACAGAGAAGAACCTCAATTTTAGTTTTGGTCTAACACCACAATCGAGCGACATTTATTACCACACTTCCACCTCTAAATGCTTATTTCACATTATTTCCGAACATATAACGAGCCTGGTGGCTACATGTTCAGTAATCACCACACAGCTAAATAGATACAACAAATTATTCACAACTGACGGTTTCATGCCAACAATACACCCAATCAAAACCAGTCAGTGATCGAATAAACAACTATTCAGCTTCAATACAACCTTTATATTTGATAAACATTTGAAATGTGATTTGAAACAGCGAACGATACAATTTGCGGAGAACGACACTTCAGTCGTAAGATCTGCATGCGCTTTCATGTGTGTGGGACAAGCCTTCCACTGTTTTAGTAGCATACACGTAAAACACAATTTTAGCATGCAATTCGGCCATAATCGTAAATTCCAGAATAAAAACGTAAATACTTTCGAACAAGGATGATGAGAATAGAATCACTGGTGATCATGAAACTATAAAGAAACTTCTTCTATTCCATTCGATTTTGATGTAAGAAAAAAAAGATCAGACAATACTGAAACGAAATATAAAAAACCGCAAATAAAGACGTACCTCAGAACAACCTCCAATAAATTAAATCAGTCGAGAGAGAAATCGATGAAGAACGATGAAACAAAACGGAACTCAACTGTTAGTTGATTACCACAAAACGAAAATGATTAGTATGTGAATGAACAAATGAATAACTGCTCTAAAATGCTAACGCAGACACAAACAATGAAGCGATCAACAGCAAAACCAACCCGATATTAGCCCCCAAAAAGCTAAGTACATAAATTCTGTTATCGCCGATTAAACAAAAATGACTAATAAGACTACTACTAAGACTAACANCGAGAAACGATGAATAAAATTCATAACATCAATCATTTTTCGTTTTTTTTAAAAAATAACTTCGAATGAGAATGGAAGTTTTTTGAATCAAATGGACAATTAGTGCAGCCATAATGTCGAAAACGTCCCACTGATTGCCTTTGTAATGTGAAAATTGTTGAATTTGATTGCGAACACATTTTATAGTCAGTGAGTTGATACAAAAAAAAATTAATCGAAAAATGACTAACACAAAATGCGAGACAAATTTAAAAATGAATTCATTCACGTGCAATATTATTATAACGATAACAGATAGCAAATAATAAAATTTAAAATGAACATGAACAATTCTTCGTTGATACTATGATAATGAAATGAACATTCTTGCTAAATATTCAGTCAGACGAAGACAATACACAACAATAAAATCCAAATTAAAACAACAAATCAACTCCATTATTGTTTCAAGAAACTGAATTGAGCGCTGAATTTGTTATTACAGAAATAACAGTAGAGAAAATTACGGTCGAAGAATTTCTGTTTGGCAGAACATACAATTCGATGGGTTTTCATATTTGATGACAACATGAATTGCGAATGGTAGAGCTGAAAAAGGTTTAGCAAAAGGTTGCTTCTGTGAAACATGACAATCCATGTCTCATGCAGAACTAAGTCAGCGCCACGAGCATATTTCAAAGATCAATCATTCGATCGATCAATCCAATCAAAACAAACGACCATTCAAAAAAAANAAAAAAAACTCAGAAATCAAATGAAATATATGACTGAAAAAAGTAAAATAAAACAAAACGACAGCAGTGTTAAAGATCCATACGAGCGAACCGTTTGATTTATACGATTTACTTCAATCCCAACACATTCATCAACCATATTTCACATCCTTATCACTAATGTCAAAATAGCTGAAACTCTAAGAGGGAAACAAATTGTAATGCCAAACATTTGGATAAGCCGACTTTTTTTGAGGCAAACAGGATCAAGCAGGGTAAGGGTAATCGAAAAGGTGGTTTCGAACTGAAATTACATTAGCGCTGAATGCGTCAGCGAAATCAACCACACCATCAGACGCAACAACGAGCATTGGCAATGAATGTAGTCTGTGATTTTGCAAACGATAAAAGAAAGACTTTTGAAAATCAAGTATGTGCATTGCTTCACAAATGAAAAAATTTTCTATTACGAAAGGAAGAAAAAATAAAGTTCGACGCTAACTTTCGAAAGGAAGAACAAAAAGAAGAAAGAATACTCTCACCTCTACCTCTCACACACATACACACAAATAAACAACCACATACATATTTACATATTGCTAATACATGTTGTGAAGTATGTGTCATTTTGAATGCAAAATTCAAATTCTAATACAAGTCCGAATCAAATTCAATTCAATTCAACACATCCTTCTCTACCATAGAATTCAAAAACATCAACCCTTTAACTGCAAAATCAGCATCAATTATTACTGCAATATACAACAAGCAACACAACAATCAATAATTACCTCCACATATATTGTTACTATCACCATTATTGCTATTATTATATATACTCATATCTTTCGAATATCAGCATACAATCATATACAATAATAACATCAATAATGGTGTAACACTGGTGAATCAATATAGCATTATCTTAATTGATTCAAGAATGAAGACGAAATCAAACGACGAAGCACATTCAGTGAACGACCAAGACCGATTGAACACACCTCTTCCGAATATCCCACCTCAGACTGCAGGAAAGGTTTTTTTTTTAAATGACTAAGCCATAATGAGCTGTTAAAGGTATTTGGATAAGTCGACAAACTGAAATGCGTGACCAGATTTATTTTTTGATGATATAAAAACGCAGAGTTGATGACATTAGTACAGAGTCATTAACGCATGGAAGAACACATCAAAAGAGAGTGCTCAACAGAACCTAATAACTGATATCAGACAGAACAATGAAATCCAATTCGATAAACGCTCGCTCGTTCAAATAAATCATAACGTAATACTATAGAACGTTACAAAACACCTTTCTTTTCAAAAACACTTCACGTCTATGCGGTGGAACAGTAAGTTTATGTTGTAAATACAAATAAATATACAACAAAATGACACCCTTAACAGCAACAATTATTGATTGATAAATGAGAATTCAAAGGAGAATCCTTTGCAAGTATCTAAAAGATCCACAATAAGATAGATGACGATGATTCATGATCGAAAAGTTATCTACAGAAATTATGGATTACTTTGACGATAAAACCAGTACTTGAGGGGGGAACAAAAGACGAGGCGGAAGAATGGATGATAAACATAGATGAAGAAGAGCAGGGAGGATTTTGCTAGATGGCTGGATGGAGATGAAACTGAAGAGGTGACTTGATGTTGAGAGCAAACCGTTGATTACAGCATTAAATTAAGGGTGATCATAGCGTTAAAATACAACTGTACGTGTCTGCTGTCTTCTGTAGCATGCATATAGATAGCAGCAGCAATAATAAATTGAATCCAACGATTCTCTCGGAGCTTATTTCTTTCCTTTCTTCGCATTCGGTGCTGGTGTATTCCTTGGTGGAGTCACTGGACGACCTGATCCAGCTGCGCTGTACGGGAATTTCTTCTTATCGGCTGGTTTCAATATCTGAACACTCATCGCATTTTAGCCACAGTTTATATGCGTATCACTAGATTTAAACTGTTTGTAGTAGTTTTCACCAGCGACGAAATTAATGAATACTTCATGATTCACGAACAAAATGATGAATATTTGAAGCGAACTGGAACAAATGACAAAACGAATAAATGAACCATTCAAAAAATGAACAAATCTTCACACATTAGTATTCATCTCTCAAAAAGCGCATACCTGGAAGGAGCACATAAGTGTCTCATCGACAGTCATCATTGAACCGGCGTTATCAAACTCACCACAATAATTTGGTGCAGAAAACAACGTGACTAACTGTCGCTTCGCAAAGAATTCATACCCGTCCTCTACTACCTGAAAGTCCACGTCTCATTCAATAAAACCACATCATACATTTATTTTATAGTCAGTAAAAACCTTTTTCTAATTCCTCAATGATTTATGATAGTGGAGAACAACTGATGTACTTTAAAACGAATTCAGAAGCGAATATGAAATATTTTAACTATGAGTGACTGAAATCAATCAGTGAACATCAAATAAGAAAATTCGAGCGATCTAAAAAACGTGGCTACCAACCTGATGAGCGCGACATATGAGATCGAGATCGTGTTTGTGTAAGAACTTCGCTACGACCTCAGGTCCAAACGTGAAAGATACTCCTCGGTCATTCTCACCCCATCCTAAATTCAACTTATAGTTTGGAAATTAATAGAAATTGATGGCTGAAAGACGATGCATTGGCGAATAGATTGATAAGACAACAATAAGGAAAGATAATGCATAAAAATAAGATATGCGGTAAAAGGAACATACCAGTGACATCTTTATCCGGATCAGACCACAACAAATCACACAGCAATCCTTGATCTGGAACATCCGTTGGCCGCATTATACGTCGTATTTGCTCCATCGATTGCAGATCCGGAGACAGACCGCCATGACAACAGAAAATCTTTTCGTCGATTATTGCAGCCACCGGAAGGCAATTGAAACAGTCAGTAAACGTCTTCCACAATTTGATGTTATAACGCCTTTTACCTATAACTGCGGCTCATGAGTCATGCAAGAACTATCGATAATCAACGCAAATTGATAAATTGATAAACAAAACCGAACATTCATCGTAGAACCCGTATATCCTATTAATTGATGCACATTCGTGATTTCCCCGCAGTAAGAAGAAATTCTCCGGATATTTGATCTTGTAAGCCAACAGCAAACAGATCGTCTCCAAAGATTGCTTGCCTAAAATCGTGAATCAATAGTGTTAATGATGGCACTACATAATGATCAATAAATCATCATCAATAACAAGAATTAAACAGAAAAGCGAATGTAATCGTTTAAGTTAACAAAGAAAGAACACGAACCTCGATCAACGTAATCTCCCAAGAAGAGATAATTCGATTCAGGTGGGAATCCTCCATATTCGAAGAGTCGCAACAGATCGTAATACTGTCCATGCACATCACCTGCACAACGAATAATCATCATGGAACGAGTGATACGCACATTTTTTCAACGAAATTAACAAATCAGAATTGAAACAGTTCAAAACATATCAATAAATCATATGTACTCATCACAACAAGTGATTTATGGAATTCTGAAGCAACAAATTCTAATGAGATTCATCATAATCAACATTAATTCAATCACTTAAATGATATCATGATTATTAGTGACATAGCAACGCTTCCGCATCAAGAAAATCATTCAAACCAGGCTGAGAAGAGCCAATCGGAAATTCCAAATTAGAAGAAAAGATAACTAATTACCGCAAATCTTCAATGGTGCTTCAAGTTCGAGAAGAATTGGTTGACTGAGAAATATTTCTCTTGATTTGACGCACAAACCTTTGATCTCATTTTCAGTCAACTGCACATTCTTGCCCGGTTTTGATCCTCGGACTGTAAACAATAATTATAATTTCATGTGGAACACTGCCACTGAAACTGGAAAAATGTTCTTCAAATTGAACACATGACATTTTATGTGATCAACTGTGCGTTGAATAACGCAATGTTTTGAATTCAAAAACAGAAAATTTCATGCAGTTTGCTTTTCAATGGTGATATCATGTAATCGTTGAAAAAGATCCATTCAAACGGACGTATAAATTTGACTATAATGTTCGTTCAGAGTTTCGTGACACAATCAAACGAGGCTGAGCCTTCGAACGAACGTTACAATGTGGAACACTGTTCCACATTAGTACATCATCGAAGTGATAAAGACGAGATATGGACAAGAAATTAAGATAAGTAAGTTGATAGGCGAACATAAATAAGACACACAAGACAGCTGTGGCCTTGACCGCAATCTGTTCGAACCTATATCTGATGTGATTTGATTAGTGCACTTTGGTAAGTAGGCTCAGAGTAAGATCATAGTAGGCAGTAGTTAAATAATCAATTAGTAGTGATATGTGAGAAAAGAGAAATTAGTGAGAGTGAAAAACAGCGAGGATCNCGACTAGAAACAATGCACGTCATTAATTACGAACAAATCCTTATTGGATGTCAGAAGTTTTCCTTGCCATAAAAAACAGCTGACACGGATCGGAAACTTCACCGCCAGGAGAATATCATTGGAAGACGAACGCAAAGAAAATGATTCTCGTATGAACCGTTCGCACTACTATCACTGGAAACTATCTTGCAAACTTTGTGGCAATATGAATCTAATTCTCATGGGTCAATATTTTACATTCAACGATGCTCGCCGTATTGATACGAAAAAATTTTCTGGTAGCATTCGATAAATTCTAAAAAATACACCGCTCAATGCAACGAAATTGGAATCGAAAAATAAAAACCTTCGAGTAGCCTAGCAATGATATTGTCCAAGTTGAGCTTCTCTACTTCAGCAGCCATCAGTTCAGTGATGCGGTGGACTGTTTTAACGATCGACTTTGATCTTTAACTATAAATGGATAATAAAAATCAATTATATGAACAATACAAATTCGTGGTTTCACCGATAACGAATAACTCCGCAACGAGAAGCACGATCAATCGGCCAAAATAAACTTGATCTGTTAGCTCTCATTCTGAAGCCATCTGTTATCCCATACAACTTTTATTCGGTTCCACTCTTATCCTCATTATTATCAATTTTACTATTGGTATGATTACATTCTTAGTATTTCTAAAGTTATTGCTGTCACTGCAGCGTATAGTTCGTTGTAACTGATAAATGAATAGGCAACTGACATAGAACAATTTTCAGCAGCTCTCATTGGTACAACAATGAAAATGTCATTCGTCTGCCTAAAATAAAATGCACGAGGAGCTCATAACAATACATTGAAGACCAATGCATATTCGGTGGTCTTAAAGACTGGGCGATCAAAGATCGCGAAATGGTTCAACAGAGGAGCTGTGAAAAGTGTGGGACGGAGGGTGGGAAGGCTTTTTCCCTTTTCACTGCGCTGGAAATTGAAACAAGAATGGATAAAAACTGAAAAAGTATAAGCATTCTCCAAATCGACATCAAATAAACATCACTAAAGAGCCTAAAATGCAAAATTAAGCGATGAATTGGAGAGTTCGTGTGTTTTTGCATAATTACACTTTTGGTTGAATGTGACAATTTCTTTTCACGAGATAGCTTGAAAATACGTTAAACTAATGAAATTAATCAAAATCGGATCCATTTGCATGGATTGATAAAAATTTCCACTAATCTCCCTTATCATTGCAGCGTTTGATATAACGCGTAAGGCCGACAAGCGTGCGAACCATTTCCAAATGATCAGCAGGCAGCGACAAATGACTTCGCTAGCATCGATGTTGCAGCTGAATTTTGTGTTCAATCGAAAAAAAACCGACATCGATGATTGAATTAAACAAAATTCGGATTTCTAGTAGGAAACGGGTTCTCAACCCCGTGAGCCGCATATCATATTTTGGTGAGTTGTCAGACTATGGGACTCCTCGATGTATCACTAACAACCGAATCATTTGCGCTGTATCAGAAGTAATCAATTCCTCTTATCGGTTCCTCACTTATCACATTGGAATTATTCTGCAAGTGAATTAGAACTGATCCAGGTGATCTGCTGTGTCAGCTAAGCACAAATTTGAATGTTTTCAGCACCGTGAAGAAGATCATTGAATGCATGATAGCTGCATAAGTGTCACGCAATTTGTAATAGTAAGCAATAGCAGTGATGGGCAAGCTACTGGAAAATGCAACTTCGCTATTCGTTAATTCGCTAAAAATAGTTTCGTTCCACTAAAAATAATTCGCTATCGATATTGTCGCCGAGATTGCAGCGAAAAATTTTCGCTAAAACGGTGTTTAGCAAAATTATTCACTAATCAGCATCGCTAATCGCCACTTTCGAATTTTCCCACAAAATTTGCAGTTTGCAGTCGAAAATTCTTATTGAATCATTCAGCAACAGATAATCGTTCCAATGATAAGCATGAGTCAATTTAAAAAAAAAAACTTGAACGATCAGAAAACAACCAAACAAAGACCATGAAATTCAAAGATTCCACTTTATTATTCCCTTTTAAGAATATCAACAAGCTGAGCATTTCGTCTGGAATTCTGGACCGTTTGGATCTCATCGTATCGCCTAGCTCAATCCGCCTGAGATGAAAATCAGCAATCATCACATCTATACGTAGAAAAGAATCTGAAATGAAACTGCAAACTATCTTTTCTATCAAACTACAAAACTATCATCGCATCTTATTAACCTGCTCAATTTCTGAAGTTTTGGAGAAAATAACTGCAACCGAATTGAGAAACTATTTCATTATGCAAGAGCTGTTTTCCTCTTTCTGGTATACCTTTCTGGATAGGGAATCAGTCACTGCGGTTCCACGTAATCATAACTATTGGGTAACACCACATATTTCGACTTTAAACGAGAGTTTGATGCTTTTAAATTAGCTTCTGACATATGAGGTTGTATTTCTATTTGGATCAGAGACTTTCTTACGAATCGTTTTCGTGTGAGGTGTTATGTTAACCTGGGAATTTGACTTAATGAGTTAATCAGGTGACGCTGTATATGAACTCGGCAACTTGATTTTCTTCATCTCCTGTTCTAACATCTAATAAAAATTATCGCGAACATGAGTGTATTGAATTAAAGTCGTTCGTTTCAGACAGATTCAACTCATATTCAGTGAATTATTTTTTATTGCCACAAATGTCATTAGCAGGTGGTTATATTCTGATGAAAATTCGAAAATCATAAAAGTTCACACAGATCTGAAAGAATTTCCATGTTTGCTGAAAGAATTGAAAGATTCACTTTTCGAATATACGACGAAGCCTCAGCGGCAGGTGTTTCTTAGGGTTTTCATTTGAATGTTGTTAAGGATTAATTATGTCATCTAAATTTAAACTCTTTCATTTTATTTTTGAATTTGAATTGGACTGAAAAGTGAAGAGTTCATTTGAATAAAGTGACACTGAATCGATGAAATGAATTCAAAAGTTAGTTTGTTGAAATGTGGATTGACTATGAGTCGAATTTAATACGGATAAAAGGAAGATGAGTTGAATCTTACCCTCTTGAATATTTATTTCTTCAAAAACTGTCATTTTATTGTTACTTATTGGCCTTTTATAATTTCTATGCAGGAAACGATTAATTCACTCATAAAGAGTTCGGAAAAGGATTTTTTGATATTGCTGAAGACAACTGAAACTAATTGAATTCTGCAAATGCCTACACACTATATTATTTGGCACAAAATTTTGATGCTGATTGATAATTAACAAAGAAAGATCGGACAATTAAGTTGGAGTTTTCATACGAGCATTATACCATTCTATAGAATTTGTTGCGCTAGTTGTGAGTTATTCTTCCAGTTTTGTGCGATAATAACGAGTTATGAGGGAAAAGGTGTCCCATTTATTAGTTAATTAATAGCTTCTCCTTGCTAGGAATTTTCATGAGGTTTGTTTTTATGGGTTATCGTATTCCCGGGGAAAATTTGATGGAATTAGTTATATGATAAAAAGATGGTAGCGATCGGGATGTGCCACGATAAACTACTTTCATCGAGTCTTCTTGAATGAACCAAAAAAATTTTACTAGCAAACAAAACAAATATCAAAAGTGAGCGATAGCATAACCAGGATTTTCCCCAGCGGAAAGGGGCGCGTAATGATCTGGTCCAGAAAAAGATCTGGTCTGTTCCCTCACAAGTAGTCTATCAAAAGTTATGGGACGTTTGATGATTAAAACTCTTAACGAATTTTTTGATATCGATTGTTTATTACCGTCGTCCCAATATGGCTTCCTTGAGTATAAATCTACTTTTATTAATACTTAAGACTGTTTAAGTATCTGAAATAAACAAACTGCTTCTAATAAGTGTATTGATGTGGTCTACATTGATTTTGGAAAAGCATTTGACTCAATTTCTATCTCAAAACTTCTTTCTAAATTGCATCTTTATGGTGTCAAAGGATGTCAGCTTAATTGGGTTTATTCGTTTTCACATGATTGCAAGCAGGTTGTTATCAACAATGGCCTCACAACTTCACTAAACCAATAAAGTATGGTGTTACTGTAAATACACTAAAACCAATAAAACTTATTACTCGATAGAACAGTTGATAGTTGGAGGTTGCTGCCTTCCACTGTAATAAATGCAACCACATCGACATTCTTTCTCATGCACCTCAAGAAATTCCGAAATCAAATTTACCTCTAAAATCAGATAAAGTTAACACCAACGGCACACGTTACCATTACATTACAATTTTTTATTTCTGCTCATTAATTGTAGTTTTATTATCGGATCTGTGTTTCATCACTGCTCTAAAGCACTGAATGCTACTGCACTCGTTCAGTTTGTTGTTTGTAAATATGGTCTTTCTCTTCGCACTGTAGTGCAACTGACGACTAAACGATAAAACGTTTGTCTGCTTATCTCTCTATGACAACAATCGTAATATTCTTTTCGCGGACTATTTCTTGTCAATATTTGTGTGATTTCGATTACTGTAATGTGCGGGACAGCCGTGTTACTGTTCCTGTTCGTTTCAATTTCTTAGGTGAATAAATAATAATAACAACTGATAATAATAAACGATAATACGAATTATGTCCAAACATTCCACAATACCATTTTTCTACGCATTATTTTGGCTATTCATGAAACTATTACCATTATCACCATCGTTATCACCATTATTATTATTTTCATTGCACTGTCACATAACCGATATATTCAAAGTCACATAGCTTACTATTAGTGAAATCAGCAGAATACTAATAATGCACTTAACGAGCATTTGAGGTGTGATTGAATACTGAATGCCGACCCGTTAGGACGAGTTTGATAACTTCGAATTTAGCACTTGTCACTGCTAGAACGCAACTGTGCATTTCAAATATTTTGGTAGTGGAAAAATAAGGAATTCCTAGCGAATTAGCGGAATCTCGAAAAAAAAAAGCTCTGTTAGTGGCGGAATAGCGAATAGCGCGCTACTTTCAACCATTGATGTTAACGTTTTTTCAGGTATCTTGGTGCTTAATGTATGTCATTTCCC